CCGGCCCCGCCAGCCCGCCCTCTCCCCATGTGGGGTTGCGGTGCGCGCCCGGGCTCTGCGGCTTCTCGGCCTGGCGCCTGCATGACGGGCGCGCTCCCCCCAAGTACTCTTTGCGGGGGGCGGGGGCCACGGAGAGGGCCCTGTGGTGTGGTGGCCCGACGGCCCAGACCCAAGCACGCCAGCCCGGGCTGGGGGCCGCCGTGAAGTCTCGTCTCGCGTGGCCGACACTGCCAGGCTGCAGTGGGGCCTCACGCCCGAGGACCCTTGTCTGCTGACCTGGGGCAGTTTCCTCCAAAGGGGGCAGTTGCCCAGTTCTGAGGGCCCGGCTGCCCCCCGCGGCCATCCCGGCCCAGAGCCGCGGCCCTCCTGTCCGACGCCCCACCCGGTGAGCACACCCAGGAGCCCCCGCTTGCCACTGGGCACAGCAGTCGGGGAACAGTTCGCGTGGCACGCTTTACTGTCAGCCCCCCACCCCGCCACGTCACCATCTGGCTTTCAGCATTTGGCTCACTGGGCAAAGGGCTGTGCCGTAACAAGCCAGAGCTCTGTTCTCCGTCTGTGAGGTCTGGGCCCACGGCTGGCGGAAGGCCCGGCCAGGAGGCCCCAGCTGTGGCCACGCCGCCCGCCCCCCCGGGCCACGTGCGTGCTGGCAGAGAAGCCCTGAGCTGCGCGATCCTGTCACGTCAAGCGTTTGCCCCCCACCAGCCACAGGCACCGTGCTCGGGCCCCATCCCGCGCCCCTCGCCCGCTGACACGCCGCAGAAGGTGCTACTCGCTTCTGGAAAAAGTGAAAAGGGAATAAATGACAAGCCTCAGCTGTCCCCTGACCCGCAGGCGGCAGGCCCAGCGCTCACTGCCCAGCTCGCCCGCAGTGTGGGCCTGGGCCTCTCTCTGAATGTGCCCCACCCCGAGGGCGCCTCCCTCCTCGGGCCTCTGCCCAAGTCTGTCCCCGCCCCAGCTTCCAGGGAGCACGCGAGGCCCGGAGCCCTCCGCTCCCCGAGCAGCAGAGCGAGGCCCGCCCCCAGCCCCTGCCATCTGGGCGGGCTCCCCGGCTTTCGGTGGGGGACACTTACTCAGGAGGGTCCTTCCCAAGCAGTGAAGCCCCAGGGGCAATACAGAACTGAAGTGCTGGCCAGGGCTGGGCCTCGTGGGACGCATGGAAAGAGCTGCCTGGGGGTTGGGGGGGCCGGGGGGGCCTGGAGGCTGTGCTGGACTGCTGCGGGCAGGGGCGGGCACCCTCACACGTGCGTCCTGGAGAGCTGGCACAGCCGGAGCCCAGCGCAGCTGCCCTGGCAAGTCCCCCAGTGGCTCCCGGGGTGGCACTCTCCTCTCCTTCCCGAGGGGGCTCCGGCCGTGACCGCAGCATGCCCCACGGCCTCAGGACTTCCCAGCAAACCAAGATGCTCCTATGGCCACGTCCAGGGGGTGCATGTGCCCGAGGTGGCCGCTTGTCCACCTCCCTCAGCCAAGGCTTCTCCCTGCAGGTCGCGGCTCAGGGGACTCCGCAGCGGGAGCCCAGTCGGGGTCCCCTGGCGCTCAGCCTCGGCGCGGCTTGGCCTCCGTCTCGCCCTCCGCAGGTGCTCAGGCGCAGGTCCGGGACCTGGGCGGGAGCAGGGCTCGGGCAGGGCCGCCCTCTGGCCTCCCGCTGCCCGCCAGCGTCCAGGCGCCCACAGGCCAGCACTAGGTCCCGCCAACTCCTGGCTGCGGCGGCGGCCAGCAGGGCTCTGCTCGCCCGGGCCCCTTCACGCAGTGTCTGGGGAGTCTGGGCACCCCCCAGGACAGGACAGACACACACGCGCGCACAGTGCAGCACGCAGGTGCACACGCTAAGCCCTCCTCTTCAGGGGCTCCGGCGACCAGACTGGGCGTGGCGGGATGATCTCCACGGGGTGACACGGCCACAGGGGTGACACCAGGGAGCAGGTCGCGGGGGTGGGCACCTCAAGTTTCGGCGTCCCACAGTCTCCTGGGAGTCCTGAGGACATGGTCTTGCGGAAGCACAGCAGGCGGTCGAGTCTGGGTTCGGGAGTGGCGCGGAGTGAGAGCGTAGGAGACCCAGAAACAAAGACGCTGCCCGCGGACGGACGGACACTGGTACTCCAAGGCTGAGGCCGGAGAGTGAGTCACTGGACGACCTCCCTCCGCCGCGGAAGAGGCATCGTCGAAGAAAACACACTGGCAAAGCAGAACCACGCTTAGTCTCTGCGGACAGGCCAGCTCCTGGATGGGCCGGGTGAGGCGGGAGGCAGCAGGGCACGCTCAGGGCACCGGCTGGAGCGCTGGGAGCAGCACGCGCCCGGTGTGAGCCGAGCTGTGCTCCATGGCAACGCCCAGGCCACTCAGGAGGCGCGCGGAGGACGGGTGGGCAGGCGGAGGGCAGCCACCGGGCCGGGCGGCCATCTGGGTGCCCACCGTGCCGACCGGTCACACACCCGTGGCTTGTGGGGTGGTAGGACGCCAGCCGGTCCCGGCACGGGGAGGGAGGCCAGGGCCAGGGCGTGGACTTGGGTCCCCTTCCCCTGGGAGCCGCCAGTGGACAGAGAAATGAGCCCGAAAGGAGTCCCGCCAGCCACGACCTGGGGTGCGGTGACAAGCGAGGGTGGCCTCAGGCAGGAGCTCCCGACCCCAGGAAAGGAACCAGGGTCTCTGGCGGTCACCACGTGCCGAGGCTGCAGCCACCGGGAGGTTTTCCTGGGTCGGCCCGTCCGCTCACTGGCCTTGGACCAGCCCTCTGGAAGGGCGAGCTGCGGGAAGAGAGGGTCTCCCGCTGGGAGTCCTGCCCTCCGTGGCCAGGGGCGATCACTCACCAAGGGCCTAGCGCTCGCTCGGGGCTAGCGCCTGGCGTTTCCTCCCAGCTCAGCGGTAGCTCTCGGAGCACGCGGGGTGGCGGGCGGGAAAGCACCCTGGAGACAGCCGTGCCGCCGAGCTGC